CCTGCTACATTTGCCTACACAGAAGAAGGAGCTGGCGGAGCTGCGTTTTCTGGGCTCCCCCAGGCTTCACGCTACACTTAGCTGTTTGCCTGGAGCCGTACTTTTCCAGTGAAGTAACAGTGTTTTTCTCTCATAACAAATTAGTAAATAGTACTTTTCAGTCTGCCTTTTCAGCAAAGTGAACAGGACCCAGCCAAACGGGTCCGAGTCGGCCTCACTAGTTGCAGCAGCTCCGCGAGCAGAGGCCGTTGCTAACGGGCAGCCTGCCTCCTCGCCGAGACCCACCTCACCCTCCTCTTCCTCGACGTAGCCCAAGGACGGAGGCCATGCCCAATGCCCATGAGGGGACGCCAATGTCACCCACTTTCTTTACGTCGTGAGTTCTTCTCCCCTAAAATCTGGCACATTAAACGATAAGTTTTTTATCCCCATGATTCTTATGAAAGGTATCTGTGGTACAAAGCCAACTTAATTCAGAGCTTGGTTTGACACAAGTTGTCCCAAACATGACTTATGTCTAGCACAAGAGAGCAAAGGTCTCTTTGGCATGGCTTCATCTCACTCCTTACTTCAACATGCCTCCTTGGTATGGATTCATCTAGCTCCTTACTACACGAAGAGTCAAAGCTGGTGAAGAAGAAAAAAATTTATTGGCTCTTAGTTTACTTTAAGAGAAAAAAGAGATAAAACAGTTTCTTGCTAATGTTTCCAAACGGTATACTCTATCCATTTCACGAAGAGCATTTAAATATTTTCAACTTTAAACAAATATATTCAAAAAAATATTAATATTTTGATGTATAAGAAGCATCATTAAATTAATCTCTGAATATATGTTCATAATAATCTTATTTAAAAATACTAAACATTACTAATATTTTTTACAAACCTAATAAAAACTTAAGAAAAATTGACCCAGTAAAAACCGTACGTGACAATCTTTTGGAACGGTACAAACGAAAACAATCATAGCGGAGAGCATCAAGGGGCGGACGGACGGACGTGGGGGCCGTGTGAGCCACTCACGCATCGGCTGCCTATTGGACGGGGTCAGTCACCACTCACCACTGTCCACTGCTCTTTTTGTTCCATTCTTTCCATGCGACAGACTACAGTACGTGCCAACTGCCAAGACACTACCGACTGATTACCTGCCGCGCGCGACCTCCCGTGGTGCGGTGTGCGCGGCGAAGGCGTTTTTAATTTCGGTATCCTCAAAGTTTCGGCCACCACCAAAATTATCGAATTTCGTGAAATTCAGCTAAAATTTCGCCGATTTTTTTTTAGAGATTAGCACATGAAGTATGTTTTTTCTAAAAAAATTGGATCTAAACAAATATTAGTATGATTTATGACTATATATCTATTAAATAGAAGAATATGCAATATAAACAATAGAAAAATATAAGATTAGAGTTATATAGCACATGTATTAGTGTATTAAAAAAATTCGGAGTTTTCTTTCGGCCACCACCGAAATTACCGAATTTTGTGAAATTCGAACGAAATTTCGCCGAAATTTTGAACCCTTTAGGCCATGGCGAAGGGCCGCGCTGCCACGCTCCTCGCCGTCCTGGCCGCCGCCGCGCTGCCTCGGCTGGAGCACCCGGCCAAGAACGACGGGTCGCTGAGCCTGCTCGTCGTCGGGGACTGGGGCCGCAAGGGGGCGTACAACTAGTCCCGGGTCGCCGAGCAGGTAAGAAGCATGTTCATCTCCCTCCGGCTTCCTCCCATGATCCGTTCCTGTTCGTCGGAGTACAGGATATGTGGTCAGAAGGATAGGGGGCCAGGACTCCAGGAAATCAGGTGTCCGTTTTTCTATCGTTGGGCGGAAAAGGCGTGGGAATGAAACTGGCCAGTGTATAGCTGGTTGCGTACAATAGTGCCTGTTTGGATCATTTTCGGCTTCTTAAAATCAGTCTTAGCCTCTAGTTTATAAAATCTAGATAGCGAGTAAAAATTGATGGGGTGTTTGGGTCCACTAGTTTTTAATAATTTGGCTTCATTTATTGCTCTATAGGTAAAAAAAACTAGCAAAAGATAGGTATAACAGATTCTTAGTTTTTAAGAATTCGACAAAAAAACTGATAGCAAAAATTAGGAACATTTAGAGATCCCACCTAGTTTCTAAAAACCATATTCTTAAAAACCGACAGAAACTGGAGGATCTAGATCACCGGTTGTGACAGTTGTCTCGTCAGATCTTGTTTATTTATGCCTCGACGCCCTACTCACAGTGGCGCGTGCTCGTGATTTTTTTTATCCTGTTTGTTGGTGCGCATCGGTGGAAATGGACCAAAAGAAGAAGAAAAAAGGCTCCCGGCAGTTGTGGATCTACGAATCACAGGAACAGGACAAAAGATTAACCTCGGGGATTGTAATAACCGGTAAAAGCAGTAGTAGTAATCAGCGGATTTCCTACAGATGGGAAGGGTCGGGGTTCTCCTGTTCGCTTCTCTGATAAGTCATGGGTAAAAGTACTGTTAGTTAATCTATTGTGAGATAAAAATACCGTACTGTTGGTTAATCTATTGTAAGATAAAAATACTATTCGTTTGATGAAAAATACGACTTATAGACTAAACGAAAAGGTTCGTCGTCTCCACCGGGGATAACTTCTACGACACCGGGCCGACGGGCGTTGACGACGACGCGTTTGAGCAAATCGTTCACGGACATCTACACGGCGAACAGCTTACAGAAGCCGTGGTACCTAGGTAAGCATTACTGCACCTGAAACTAGCGCTCTTCTATTGCCATTTCTATTGATGCGACGACGAAAATACTCTATTTATTTATATCTTCATTGAGGCTTGTACATTGTATGTGCTTGCGTTCAGTTCTGGGAAATCATGACTACAAGGGTGACGCACTAGCTCAGTTTAGTCCAGCCCTAGGAAGATCGACAGCCGGTTTATTTGCATGAGATCATTCATCGTGAATGCAGGTGCAAATTTGTATTTCAGTCAAACCAGAAAAAAATTTGCAGGGTTGTGAAGATTCTGAGATTGAGGGCAAGCTCTGACACGATCCTTTCAGAAATCGCGGATTTCTTTTTTATTGACACCACCCCATTTCAACTGAAATATTGGACTCACCCGAAAGTTAATCATTATGACTGGAGAGTAGTAGCACCTCGAGAGACATACATAGCCAACTTGCTGAAGGTGCGTATTATGATGAATTCATCAATGACAGACAGTGCTAATATGTCATGTAGGAAAATTAATTTATTCCTCCTTCACGAAATATATCATGTAGGATTTGGATGAGGCGCTGAAGAAATCAACTGGAAAGTGGAAGATTGCCGTTGGCCATCATACCATGAGGAGTGTCAGTCACCATGGTGACACCGAGGAGCTTCTGCAACTGCTTCTTCCAATCCTTAAGGTTATCAGAAGTAGCCACAATATTAGCCCTCCAAATACAAAAGAATCTTTTGGTACTCATAATTTTACGTCATTCCAGATTAATGACGTCGACTTCTACATCAATGGGCATGACCACTGCCTGGAACACATAAGCAGCAGAGACAGGTTAACATCCGTTTTATACAAAGTCAATTTTCACAATAATTTAGAACTGAACATGCATGTTAATATCCAATATATTCACACTAGGTGAAGTGGTCTTACCTATAATTAAAACTGAACATGCTCTGTTGTTACAGTCCAATTCAATACTTCACAAGCGGAGGCGGTTCCAGAGCATGGAGAGGATTCTTCCAGCCAAATGAAGACAAGCTCAAGTTCTTTTATGATGGGCAAGGGTTCATGTCCCTCCAGCTATAGCAGGACCAAGCTGAATTCACCTTCTACGATGCTGATGGGAATATATTGTATCAGTATTCCCAGTGGAGCTTGAGAGAAACATATCTACGACCCAGCTATGTCGCAAAAGAATGAGGCAGCCCAAATTTCCATTGGAGAGTTAGATTGGTTCAGCTCTCTGTATAAAATTTGAATGAGACATTGTGGTAACTGGCATTGGAAAGTTAAGAAAATGCAAAGGATTTAACGTGGTGTGTGGTTTATCTGCCAAAGAAACATGGAGACGAGATGTAATGTGTATGCGCTGACGTGCAAGCAGGTCCAACCAACGGAAACTATTTATGCAATATAGGATTCGACCGTAAGAATACTTTCTACAGACTCCACAAATTAGGAACCATGTGCACCCTGGTGTTTGTATGGGAGCAAGAGAGAGCATGGTAGCTTTGTCAGCTGATATTATTTCCAGGAATAACCAACCAATGGCCTTCCAATGCTTCAGGCCATAGGTTGGTTCTTCCTAGTAAATTTGGTCCGTCATCCATGCTGACCCAAGTTCCATTCTTGGATGACAGAATTTCTACCTCAAGCATGAAAAAAAATACAACAGAACAATTTCAAGATGAAGCTTCATACTGCAGGCACATCACATTCTTCACCAAGAGTGGTAAAACCGCTGTTTAATAAGGTGATCCATAGTATGGATGAAAACGGATCGGATACGAACGGATATCACTGATATTACATTTGTTTTCATATTTCTGTCCGGATTCGGATTCGAATATGGATATTGTCAACCATGACGGATAGGATAGGATTGGATATCGACATCATAAATATGCGATATGATTATTCGGATACGGATACGGTATCGGATGTTGAATATCCAGACTCGGATACGGACAGATTTGAACTCCTCTAAACGGATTCGGTCTCAAATATGGTCGGAAAATATCCGTACCGTTTTCACCCCTAATCCCTAGCGATAGGCGATGTTGTACCGCCTCGCCTAGAACTTAGGTGTTGTCTTGGCTTTTTTCCACATTGAGGTGTTTTGGGCTTGATGCATGAATGGAAATGGGAAAAATTAGATATGGAAGAAGATGAATTGCGATTATTTACTCGTGGATGCATGACAAAATCATTTTTTTATTCTGATATGCAAATTTTCCTCTATCTATCATGGTATTACCCTAACTGCACACAAAAAGTATAAACGCCTAGCAAAGTCTAGTCTCTAGGCAGAGCCCAACCACCTACATGGCGCCTATCGCTTTTTGAAACACTGGGTGCTGTAAAAGATTTTTGATCATACCAATTGAAATTATCTAAAATGTAATTATCACAAACTGGTTACCATGATGTTTTATACTCCTCCAGACCCCAAATACAAGTCCATGTGGACTTGAGCACAAGAATGAAGGTAAGAGGTACAATGACACTATTGCCATTCAAATATCGCTATAGTCAGGATAGCTGGCAAGTTTATTGCATTCATGATGCGTTTAAGCGTGGGCAGGCATGGAAGAATAAATCAAAAGGTTGCACGTCATTGACTTATATTGGGTACATTTGCAAGAAAGCAAGATGGACTTATATTTGTGGTTAGAGGGAGTACCCCATTTTTAAGAGAGATTATTCAAATGGAACAAAACTCTGTGGAATCTGCATTTAATCCAATAGCTACAATCAGTTCATGGCTAAAAAGGAAAAGTCAAGGTCAAGCAGCTTGAAATGCGACATAGATTATTTAATTCGAATTCACCAGATCGCTCCTTAGCTTCTTACATACCTGGAGCTGAGGTATCAACAACATAAATGGTTTCATTGGACAGCCAGTATGGCAAAAATGTCAACAGCTGTTTCTTTAACTCTTCTGAATATTTTTCCCACATAGCAACAGCTAATGCAAAATCATTCCACTGGAAAATCTCCTCAGTATTATATGAGCCAAATATAGTTTGTGCAAGTGAGTGGTTGCATGGCAATGGTAGTTCTGTTCCTTTTGAATGATGTATAATTGGAAAGCAGACTGTTCCTGAACCAACAGCACTTTGCTCCCTCCTTGTTGCCAACTCATGTTTTTTCCAGTAGTAGAATTGCACCACCTATTTAAGAGATAGATAGATGTAACAACCACAGACATGTCAACTTGACATGGCATTATTGTGCACCTATGGTTAGTGCTTCACTAAAAAAACAAGCACAAAAGGGAAAAGTAGTACTTTACACCTCGTTTTAGAGAATAACACTAAGATAAGTGCAACCTGAACTAGCGACATATAGTTGGTCACAAAGGAGTGATATATGATGTTGATGTCTTTTAGTGAACAGCAGACATTAAGGCCACTCAAAGAATGAACATACCTGAAGAGCATGCAAGCTGTTAGAAAATATTTTCTCAAAGACATAATCTCCCCTCCCGAGCCACAGTTCCTTTCCAAGCAACTCTATTGGGTCATCTTCAGCTGGTAACACAGATATATTGTATTCACCACTGCTTGAGTGAAAACTAAACCCACGAACATGCACTCTAGCACATCGTATGTCAAAACCAGACTGATCATAGGAAAACCAATACATGTTATCAGAAGCTGGCACAGGAATATAAGAGTTTTTCTCAGTTCGTTCAGATGTCTGAGAGAGAAAATTAAGAAGTTTCGGATCCTCATCATAAGCACGGTCTCTAGTGAACCAAAGAGTCAGGGTGAGCCTTTCCCCTTCAGTTACCTGTAAAGCAAAACATGCTGTAATTGTTGGCAAACATGAAAGGGCATGCAAAAACCTTCAAAAAGATTGAAAATACTTGAAAGAGTTTATATGCATCCAAATATCCAATAAAAAATCAAGAACAAAATAAAAGAAACTTTGGATAATGCAAAAAACAGAATGTACCTCATTTACACAATGGACATTACGATTATCAGCTGTGTATATGACAACATCCTGGGAAAAAAGGTACTTCTCAAAAAACTTAACAAAATTACCCAATAACATTTTACTAATCAACAAATATGTGTGCTTCATAAGAAAAGTATTCTGAAACAACACGGATGCAAAGTAAAAGTAGATTTGCTTACACCAGCAACTGGAACAATAGAGGAAGGATCACCATCCTGAAACTGCAGAATTCCACCCTTATAGTCCTCTCCATGATTGTTCAAGTAACAAACTGCCTTTAGATAATAAGATAAGAAAAAGCGAGTGATAAAAAAATTAGAACACTGACAAACAAAACAGACATCAGAAGTAATTCTAGTATACAAAGTTTCATCATCTAATAAGGAAAGTACGCACAAACATCCAAATATATTCATAGTTTCAGGGGCCCGGGCGGAGGCTGCATTTCTTGAGTTAAAGAGTTCTATAAATGACAGAAAATAGCAGTTTTATTATGTGTCAATTCTTCCAGGATGTAGGTGGGAATTGAATAATCATGATAAAAGATGAAGACAGCATGTGAAAGTTAGCAATAGACTTGTTGAGGGCAACTACCTCGATACATATAACAAAGAGTAAATTTCAGGCAGCATATCTGTTAGGGGCCGTTTGGATCCTTTCATTTTGGAGGAATTGGAATCTACTCAATAAATTAGGTTATTTGGTTTGGAATTTGACATTCCACAACTTTCCCAAGTTCACATATAAGCCTATCTCAAATTCATAGGGTGGGAGATGGAATTTGATTCTTTAGATCACCATGCTATGTTTCTACTCTCCATCTTATAGCATGGTCTTCAACTCGCTTCCCTATAGTAGAAATGCAACATAGAAGTATCTCCCTTGTATGGCTAACAATAATATACAAATATATTCCATATACAATCATATTAGCTTAATTAAGTTGTGCCTAAATTATAATTATTGGAATGAATTCAATTCCAAGGATCCAAACGGGCCCTTAAAAAATGCAGTTGGCGCAAGAAACAATGACAAAGCAGAAAGTGTTATGGATATGCTTTGAGGACACTTTGGAAAGCAGCATGCATGAAAGGTAAAAAAGTAGGCCCTAAATGAAACCCATTGCAAACTGGGACAAGCCATTCTTCTTCAAAATATCGCTAAGGTACAATTTAACATGGCACCACACAGGCTATCTCAACAAGTGACAGCTCGCATTAGATCTTCCGGAGTATCTCAGTTCTCAGTTACATTTAAAGTACAGTACTACGTCACTTCATAAGGTAAGAGTGAATTCCATAGAACCCCCAACTAGTTAGAAGAACACCCGGAAATCACTGAGCACATATAAGCCCAGATATACAATGCATGGATGTAGTCTAAACTCTGAAGCGCTGTGAAGTAGATCCCGGATAACAGAGAGACGCTAATCACTTTAGATGGTGACAACTAGCGACAGGCACAAAAGATTCAATATATTAACAGGAACATGCCTACATAGAACTGACGAAACTCCAAGGAAAAAAACAAAGACAGGTCCTTACTGTGAATGCCCTTTGCCTAAGATAAGGCTTATTGTCATCACTGTGCCATCCAATAGAAGCTCCCTTGCACCAACTGCATAGCGAACAGACAGGGTTTAACAGAGAGAAGCTAATCACTTTAGCATGTTGTGTCAAGCACTATAAGAACGTTCAGATGTGATTGTCCAACTTTTTAAGGAATGTGCACGTAACGTTAATAAGGTGATAGATTTTTTTTTCCCACAACGGTCAAACCGAATTTCATTACGTGCGTAACGAAATTACAAAGCTCAGCAGTTTAACCAAAGTAGAAACACAAACAAGAGCAAACAACGCATCCATGATTCTGATCAGTGATCACCAAGGGATCAGCCTCATGAATGAAAACCTACCAACCCAACTAGCAACATCAAAGCAGCGACTACCAAATAAGGAAATTGCATATGGCTTATGCAGTACAAATCAACCATCACATACTGAAGGAAACTATCGCACTAATGCTCCAATGTTACCAAAGCATTCACACTACTGGCCCAATATTGCATACTATTCGACCACTAGCATAAATCTGCCGAGTCCACTTGATCGTTGGTATTGACACCACATGGAAACACTCTACAGCAGCCGTTAATCCAGTGAGAAACGACGCCAATTTGGTCAACACACTTAAGGTAGCTGAACAAAGCACCCATACTCACCGCGCTCGGTTCCATCCCTCTTAACAGACATGCTGAAAGCACCAATTTGATGCTGGAGCTAAACTGGCAGAACCAAGCAGACAGGAAGAGAAGTCCACGCAACGCAACAACACAAGTGTGCACCTGATAATCCCGGTGAACTCGATGAAGAGATCGAAGTGGCAGTCGAAGAAGGACTCCACGGCGTCGCGGAGGCGCTCGCGGACGGGCACGAACGGGAGCAGGAGGTGGCCGCAGCCGGTGGTCGCCAAGTGCGGCAGAGACGTCGACACCACCGAGGGGCGGTACCCCGCGGCGCCGGAGCTCCGGTGCACGAACTCCAGCTCCTGCCGCACGCACGCGCCGAGCCCGTCAAACGATGCAGACGGCAGACCAAAACGAGCAGCTAAAGTTTAGGTTTCTATAAGAGGCAGGCTTCAGTGGAACAGCGGTTTCGAGGAGGAGAGTACCTTGCATGTCTCGCGGGAGAGGAAACCTCGGAGGAGAACGCGGGGATGGTCCCCGGCGGACGGCGGCGGCGGCGGCGGCGAGGTGGTGGTACTGGACATTACGAGAGGTGTATTACTGTGTGGGAACGGCCGGACGGGGAAGAGCCTCAGGTCGGATCCGTTTGGGCTGCTCCTGCTCGTCTGTGCTTGAAGCACCTACAGCGGCTGCTGCTGTTTAGGGTGTTCGGCAGTGCTCCTCCCGAGAGGCTGCTCCACAGGAGCCGAGCACTCTGTTCTAAGGCCCCGTTTGGCAGGGCTTCTCCAGCGGCTTCAGAAGCCATTTGGAGCCGTTTTCTACCAAACGGGGTAAAATGAAACGGCTCCACCGATGAAGCCCCTAAAAACGTGCTCTCACACAGCTTTGGGGTGGGAAGGAGCCAAAAATAGTGGCTTCTCCCGGCTCCTCCTCTAGGCCCCTAAAAACATGCTCTCACAGGGAAGCCATTTTGCCAAACGGTTTACCAAAACCGCTTCAGCTCCACCGGTGGAGCTGTTCGTGGAGCTGAAGCCAAATAAAATGGCTTCACTAGTGAAGTGAAGCCCTGCCAAACGGGGCCTAAAACAGCTCCGGCCTCTCTCTGGTTTTCTTTGAAAAAACGGCTTCTCCTGAAAAACCGTTAGGCAGAGCCGAAAGCTCTGTCAAGCAGGCTCTTACTTTCTATGCTATCAAAAGCAGAAGATGTATACTCCATATATAAAAAAAAAGTAGATGTAGACGGTCTTGCTGCACTACATCAAACTGTTTCGATCAAGCTGATAGATATAAAGGGCATTTTTAGCAGGGCTTTGACCTTTTTAAAAATGATGAAGCCAGGAGAAGTCATGTTTCGTTCTAGCTTTGGCTTTTAGTGTAGAGCAGCTTCTCTAATTAGCGTTAGATTTATAATAATTTGTATTATTCCGAAAGAAGCCACGTTTATGTGGCTCCGGTCCTCTAGGCTCCTTACGAGGAGTCGTTTTTCAAAGGGTCTTGGCACGACTTCTTTCAAAAAAAACCACAAGAAGCTCCACATCATGTGTCCTGAGTGAAGTCAAAAAAGAAAGAGAAGATTTGTGCACTGCAGCCAACTGTGCTAATTCATAGTGAAGACAGAAAAAAAAATCGAAGTGGCGCAAGAAGAGGGGACGATCCCCGTTCAATAAAAAATAAATTAGTTGATCCTTCCATGCTCAGCCACACACATCCCTCCTCACACCCATACTTGTCTGCGCAAGGTACCTCTTTTTTCTTGCTCGATATGTCCATACAATGATGCTACTGATGTCCACCCATTGCAATATATGAAGAGTAAAAAAAAGTGGAACGTAGATTTTTTCGGCGTCATTGCACCATTATTGCCTTGGTTTCACTATTTTTGCCCTTTTTTCTGGGAACCACTATTTTTGCCTTTGTTTTGTCTTCAAAAGACATTTTTACATGTGCATGTTTGATAGGGCTTTTGATTAAACTGACAGGGAAGCCATAACAAAAAGCCCTACCAGAAAGGCCAAAATTTAACTACAAGTACGAATATAGGTGTATAGAAGTACTCAATTGCGGGTGCATCACTGGCTTAAAATACAAAAAAAAAATTCACCTTCGCTTAGTATCTCAAAACCCTTTCTTTGTTATACTTACTCTATCAAGCCATCAAGTCACATTTTCAATCAACTTACAATTACTTGTGTCTCATCTTCGGTTGACACACATGCATACGAATTCATCAATTATGAAACTCGTTTTCTATATTGCATAATATGACCAAGCTTCATATGAGATACCAAGAGGTAACAATCAAACTGTCGGTGTAGAAAGTGACCAGCACGTAAATATTTATAGTTTTGCCGTACGTTGTAATCGGATGTGGCCTAGCACTCAATGACACAGGGTTTATACTGGTTCAGGCAACGTGCCCTATGTCCAGTTTGAGTCGGTCGGTAACTTTATTCCTGAGCCCAGGTGCTCGAAGTTTGCTGTGGGGTTACAAACGAGAGAGAGAAAGATGGAGGGTGCAAGAGGTCCGGACGGACTCCGGACTGAAGGGCCGAGAGTGACGGAAGCTCCTACGTGCGCTAAGTATTCGGGCGTGTACTCTGTGTAGCTTTAGAGTGTCTAAAGCTAGCAGAGAGTGAATCGATCGCTGGGTGTTCGAATCGTCTAAGTTCGAGAGTCTGTCCTCCTTGTTGTGAGAGAACGCATCCCCTTTTATAGATGAAGGGGACGGACTTACAAGTGAGAGAGAGGGGGGAGTATGCTACTAAGTCTTGTTGCCCACGCCATCGGGTACAAGATGATTGTAGGCGCCCACAATATTGTTGATGTCAAACGCATGTGGGAGGTTTTACCGTGTTATACCAGGTATGGTAAAAGCCGACGCCCACAATATTGTGGATGTCCAGATGCATGTGGGGGGCCTTACCGTGTTTTGCTTGGTATGGGAATTGATAGCGCCCACAACACTGTAGGACAAATGTCAGCGCCCTCAACACTGTTTGGGTTTTGACATGTCTGGAAGGTTGCAGGGCACCCTTCTGACATGTTTTGTCGATACTGTCCTACAGTCGTGTAGGGTACGGTCTTCGGTATTGCGGTTGTCTTGAGTGTCCTGCCTTTCTTGCTCTGTTCGTTTCCTAGGTCCCTTACCGAGCGGGCGTCCCCGATTGGTTGGTCCCAGTCGGCTCCGACTGCACCAGTCAAAGAAGAGCTGTAAGCAGAGGTTCGGTGCATCCCTAGTTAGAGACGTGGGTCGGAGTCAGAAGCGACGTTTGGCCAGGCCTTCTGGTCGGAGAAGTGGGCCAGAGTTGGAAGCGAGCGCCGTTCCTCTAGGGACAGGCCTTCCGGTCGGAGAGGCGGGCTAGAGGCGAAAGCGAGCGTTGCCCTTTCCCTGGCCAAGCCTTCCGGTCGGAGAGGCGGGCCGGAGTCGGAAGCGCCTTCCGGTCGAAGACTGGATCGCCCGTCTGGCCTGTAGTTAGTTTTTTTGGGCCAGCCCAGGAGTTGCACATCGTTCGCAACGTCATCTGCTGGGTCGAGCTTTTGCTGGGAAGCAGGTCCATGAAGGACCGTGGGTTTATGAACCCGACAGGAGCCCCTGAGCCCCCGGGTGATTCGGGTAGAATCGTCTAGGAGATTTTTTGATTTGACGGTGGGTGCGCGCGAGCGCACCCATGGGTGTAGCCACTGAAACCTCGGGTGATTCACGTAGAATCATTCGGGGGGTTTTCGTGTCGCCAACGGCGGAATTTTTTCGTTGTTTGACAGCGGGTGCGCGGGTGTAGGCCCCGATCCCTCGGTTGATTTAGGTAGAATCGCCTAGGGGGTCTTGTCAGTGGGCATGTGTGTGTGCACCTTGGTCAAGATAGAGTCATCAACCAAGGCGTCGGGCGTGCCGGGGGTTTGAGCAAGTCGGAGTTGCGGATCTCGCGGACCTAGGCGTCGGGTGTGGCCGAGGCAGGTGAGGGATCGGGCGAGACGGACTCACGGACCCAGGTATCAGGTGCGGCCGAGGCAATTTAGGGATCGGGCAAGATGGACTCACGGTTCTAGGCGTCGGGCATAGCCGAGGCATTTTGGGGGATAGCACGAGATGGACTCACAGATCGGGGCACAGCCGAGGCGGTCGAGGGATCGGATGAGACGGACTCGCGGATCCAGGCGTTGGGCGTAGCCGAGGGATCGAGCGAGACGGACTCGTGGATCCAAGCGGCGGGCGCAGCCGAGGCATTTTGAGGGATCGGGCGAGACAGACTCGCAGATCCAAACGTCGGGAGCGACCGAGGCAGGCGAGGGATCGGGCGAGATGGACTCGCGGACCCAGGCGTCGGGTATGACCGAGGGATCGAGCGAGACGGACTCACGGATCTAGGCGTAGCCTAGGTGGTTGAGGGATCGGGCGAGATGGACTCGCAGATCCAGGCGTCGGGCGGAGCCGAGGGATCGGGCGAGATGGACTCACGGATCTAAGTGTCGGGCATAGCCGAGGGATCGGGCGAGACGGACTCACGGATCCAAGCAGCGAGCGCAGCCGAGGCCTTTTTGAGTTTTGAGGGATCAGGCGAGACGGACTCGTAGATCCAGGCGTCGGGCACAGCCGAGGAATCGAGCAAGACGGACTCGTAGATCCAGGCATCGGGCGCAGCCGAGGGATCGGGTGAGATGGACTCGTGGATCTAGGCGGCGGGCGCAGCTGAGGGATCGGGCGAGATGGACTCGCGGATCTAGGCAGCAGATGGAGCCGAGGCATTTTTGAGTTTTGAGGGATCGAGCGAGATAGACTCATGGATCTAGGCGTCAGGCATAGCCGAGGCAGTCGAGGGATCAAACGAGACGGACTCACGGATCCAGGCATCGAGCATAGCCGAGGGATCGAGCGAGATGGACTCGTGGACCCAGGTGTCGGGTGTGGCCGAGGTAGAGGCGGTCGAGGGATCGGGCAAGACGGACTCGCAGATCCAGGCGTCGGGCGCAACCGAGGGATAGGGTGAGACGGACTCGCGGATCCATGCATCAAACGCGGCCGAGGCAGAGGCAGTCAAGGGATCGGGCGAGATGGACTCACGAATCCAGGCATCAGGCGCAGCCAAGGGATCGGGCGAGATGGACTCGTGGATCCAGGCGGTGGGCGTAGCTGAGGCATTTTGAGGGATCGGGCGAGATGAACTCACGAATCCAAGCGTCGAGCGCGGCCGAGGCAGGTGAGGGATCGGGTGAGATGGACTCGTGGACCCAGGCGTCGGGTGCGGCCAAGGGAATGGGTGAGACAAACTCGTGGATTGGGGCATAGCCGAGGCAGTCGAGGGATCGGGTGAGATAGACTCACGGATCTAAGACTCGGGCGCAGCTGAGGGATCGGACGAGACGGACTCATGGATTCAGGCGGCGGGTGTAGCCAAGGGATCAAGCGAGATGGACTCGTGGATCTAGGCGTCGGGCGTCCTGAGGCTTTGAGCCCCGTTGGGCTCGGTAGGGGTCGATTTCGTGCGTTACCCCATCCACGGTTTTCATAACCGGAGAGGCTGAGCTGACATCGCTTGCCTCGATGGCTCGAGTGATGCGCTCGGTGAGCTCTCTAACGGGCACATTC